ATATATAAGAAGACTGGGCCAATGACTTTTTCCAATGAGTCTTGCCTTCTCATAGCATGTCCAAATTAGAACAACTTCATTTTCATCTTTTTTGCTTCCAGGGGAAGTTCTGACTTGATCTGATCTCAGGCCCACTTGTTTTGTCTTTCTGTCACTCCAGGAGAGCAAAGCTGTCCCTCAGAATTCCATTTCAAAGCACATCTATTTTCTTCCTTCCATCTTTCTTCACTGTCCAGCTTTTACATCACCTGACAGAGTCATTTGTTCCCACATGTAAAAGAATGAACGGATACTTGTCAGTGGACTTTAAGAGCCTTAGCAATCTTTTAGTTATATCAGTAATTTGTCTTCCAGGGAGGCAGCATACCTGATGAGTCCATCAGTCTTCCTGACATACATGTGTTTCCATCCCATGCAACAGGGAGTCTCTTACAACGAACACTCCTCATGTCTTATTCTTGGAAGCCCTGCTATCATTGCTAATACTCGGCTGACCTTCAGCCTCTTGTTCGGTGTTGCACGGGGCGACTTGCAGTTCTTCCACAGCAGGCTGTTCTCCAGTCTCATTCCTGAGTAACCGAAAGTGGTTCCATAGTTCCACTGCTTCCACTGGTGCAGACTGTCTTCTAGTTCTGCTCCTGTCACCCTTTTCCAGGGAGTTGCCCTTCCCTCAGGATTCTCCTTTTCTGCCTCACCTTACTGTCACACTTCTAGCTTCTCTGCTATACTCAGCTGTTTCAATTCCACTGCTCTCTCTCAAACTCTTCTTTTATTTCCTTGAGAGTGGAGACTCACTGCTCTAGTGCTCTTAACTTTTCTTCCAACAGGGCTACTAGTATGCACTTGTTGCATGTGGACATCATGTTGACCTCTGGCAAGCAAACAATCATTACACAGACACTGCAGGTCAAAACCACTGGTGAACCTTCTCAGTCCATTCTTGCTGCTACCATTTTGATTCTAGCTTGTTGGGCCTGTTGTGGCAATCGGTTCTTCCTTCTGTCTTCCTTGAAGTCCTTCCCTACCCAGTCCTACCAGTACATGGGAATGTGTCACAAGAAAGAAAATAAAGTGTGTGAGTGTGGGGAAGGGAGGAACCTAAGGAGTTAAAAGGGGGAAAAAAGCTAGAAATCTCCCCTGTCAAACTTTTGTTAGCTATTCCTGTTTGCTCTCTTTGCTCATTCTCTCTCACAGCAGCTTGGCTTCTTCTATCCTAGAGTCACCAGACCAGCTGAGGCAGCTTCCTCTGATCTGCTTGGCTAGGAGTCAGAAACCAGTCAGCTGGCACTTCAGCTGTCCTCTGTGATTTCTCGAAGATAATAGGCAGTGGTTTTGAGTTATTTTGGCAGTTTATTATACTCAAGTGTTCTTTAACCATTTGCCCTCTTTCTCCACTAATATTTGATCTGTATTTGGATACCTTGGCATGTAATATCTGACAAAATACTAATATTCATGGATTTAGGTATAAATCCTTAGAAGTTAATCTTATTGCTTATGTAGATGACTGGACATGCACATGGTAGGCATGTCATGAGCAGAGAAGGATGAAGCCAAGGGTCAGACTAGATGGCCCGAGAGACCCCTACTGACTCGCTCTATTTCTATGATCTTCTACTGTTTATTTTACACCAGTCATCTATTCATTAAAATTCTATCTATGGAATAGGATAAGTAAAATTAAAATTAATGTGGTACCTCAAATTGTTTATGTAGTATTCTTTTACTTACAGTAAAGAAACTTAATACTTAGTTTTGTAAATGTCTATGGCATTGTATTCTGCTATAAATATTTTTGAAAGACACAGAACTTTCCAGTAAAGAGGAAGGATTTGGTTTCACTGATCTTTCTGTATATCATCTAGTTTATCTGTTAACTTGTACTACTTTTTGTTTATCCAGCTCAAATTAGGATATCTACTGCATTCTTTCCTTTCTAGCAAGTGTGTAAGGGACCAGGCAATTCTAGTTAAGATTTGAGAAATTGATAATGACAGGGGCTGCATTAAAGGGATGGTGTCAACTGTACTTTTAGACCAAGTATAGCGCAATGGTGGGGTTGAACTTACGTCTACTTTTACTGATGGAGCCACATGGATGAGTATCTGCCATATAAATCTCTATCTGCTAATACCAGAGAAACATAGCTGAAAATTGGCATTTATTGATTTCTCATCTATGTGGTAGAGGGGATGCCAAGGGTTTGGCACCTACTGGTCGGCAAATGTGGTGGGAATGTGTTAAGATGCAAAAATTCTGGACAGCAGTTTTCACTGAGATTACTTGGACTGTAAAAACAGAAGTACCTGTTGACTCTGAATTGGCCCTACCGAATGTATTTGTTGTAAGCCGCCCCGAGGCTTCGGCGAATGGGGCGGCATAAAAATGTTTTAATAAATAAATAAAAAGAATATAAATATGAAACATAAGGAGCTAATGTCACAACTTCTATTTGCTGCTAGAAAAGTAAAAGCGTCACAATGAAAGGATTTTAAAATTACAGATTTGAATGAGTGGTAGAATCTGGTATGGAAGGCAGCAAAAATGAAAGCATTGCCACAGAAATTGCAGGTTATGGGAGGCCAACAAATGTTTGCTTCTTTTGAGACTGGTGACCATTTACTGAATATTCAACTAACATAACTGAATATGGGAGGACAGTACAAATAAGTTATAAATAATGGTTGTTGTAACAGTTTCTGTATAACCAATATGCAGCCTGAAGGATTATTATATAGTTATTTTATGTAACTAGATCTAGGGGCAGAGAGGAAAGGAATATAGATAATATTAAATATATGTTTATTTATTTATTTATAACATTTTTATGCCGCACCCATCACCGAAGCCTCAGGGCGGCTTACAAAGAAAATAAATAAACAAAGAATAGAATAACATTAAAACTTGGAGTTTCTCAGCCATAATTTAAAACCACAAATAAAACAACCGATTAACAATTAAAATATCATTTAAATAAAAAGGTCTTGGCCTGGTGCTGAAAAACAAATAACGATGGTGCCAGGCGGACCTCTCTGGGGAGCGCGTTCCATAGGTGGGGCACCACCGCAGAGAAGGCCCTCCTCTGGGTACTCACCCTCCGAATATCCTTCACAGAGGGCTCCCAGAGAAGGGCCTCCCCCGCCGATCTCAGGGGGCAGGAGGGCATATATGGACGCAAGCGCTCCTTTAGATAACCAGGTCTCAAGCCGTTGAGGGCTTTATAGGTGATAACCAACACCTTGAATTGGGCCCGGACTTCAATGGGGAGCCAGTGAGCTGACGGAGGACTGGGGTTATATGAGAACAACGCCCAGTCCCCGTCAGCCACCTGGCAGCTGTATTTTGCACCAATTGAAGTATCCGGACCGTCTTCAAGGGCAGCCCCACGTAGAGCACATTACAGAAATCTAATTGGGAAGTTACAAATGCATGTGTCATATGTTTCCAAATGTTTGTTTTTCTTCAGTTTTCAATCAAAGAAAAATATAAAAAATAAAAAACTACAGATATGTATGTTCTTAATTAACTAATAATTTCTTGGAATTTAACACCTCCATGCCCTTTTGGCATCAAAAACTCTAACATCAGAAAGACAAATGGCCACTTGCAATAACACAGTGGTAGGGAGGAACTGGATGAAACTTTCAGTGTTTGAACCGATAGTTTTTAAGCGCAATTTATCAATGGAGAAACATATGGATATTTGGACTGCCTTTGCTGAAGTGTGTGTACAATTATCTTTAATACTAGGAGTATGTCTTCCTGCATATAAATCTGTATGTATGTATGTATATATCCTGCCTTTTTTCTTACAAAGATCTCATAGCAGCTGACATAACTCTCCTCCCCCTGCTCTCAATCTGCTGTAAGCTGCCCAGACAGACTTTGGCTATTGGGCCGGCAAATAATATTGAAGATATAAATCTTATCCCCACAACAACAACCCTGTGGGGTTGGGCTGTGTGAATGGCCCAAATATATATATGCTATGTTTTCATTGCAATCAACTGATTTATGTTTCATATAAGAAAAATTGCAACTTTTTACTAACCTTCTTTCCCTGTTTAAATTCTGGTTTTGGCTTTGATTTCAAAATGCAACATTACCCGCCCCGCCCCAGCAACCCAGAGTGCTGAGTTTGCACGACATGAGGCTCCTGGGTTGTTTATTAAAGTGTAAGCAAAGCAAAAGCAGCGAGCAGTTGGCATATGATGAGCTTGCTTACTCCCATGCAGTCCAAATAACCCATGGTTCAAACTACCATTGGCTGCACAAACCAGGTCACTGTTTGGTATATTCTTGTATAAATTACCTGGTTTGTACTTTTTCCTACATGTTTCTCTCAGCATCTTCAATTTCTTTCTGTGAGACAGGCATTCTGCTGAGTTCAGTAAACAGATGATTTTGCATTTGGGGCTAAGTAACCCCTCTACACTGCACTCTGTTCCTTCCCTGAAGACACAGTTCTATGCAGATGAGCAGAGACCTCCATACTCAGAGGAGCAAGAAAGGTGACATCTGTGGTCATTGCCTCCCCATTCCTCCTACTCTGCATTTTCATGGGATGGATGTTGGCCATTTAGTAGGGGTGTTTGAGAAAGGGAAGGAGGCTGGAATGGCTGCAGCGGCCTCATGCCCTGGCCTCTGGTCTTTTCCCACCCTCTCTCCTGAAACACTCCTGTTAATCCCTGCAAGAGATTCCTTCCCAGCCTCATGGAGTGACCAGTGCGCTTCATTTGGCAGCAGCTGTGAGGGAGAGGGCTGGAGCGCCACTCCTCACACTGACGCTGGGGCTGCAAATCCCATCCTCTAGCCCCGGGGGCAGCATCAGGTGAGGACCTAATTGTTCCCAACATGCTTATCTCTAGCTGCATCAATCTGCCTTCTGTGAAATGGGCATCCTGTGACTGGCCACACCTACGGTAATTCTAACATGCCCAGCAGCCCCAAAAGGTTGGGTATCCCAGATTCCCTTATGCCAAATTTTCACAAATACCTACCTGCCAATGTTATGTGTCGCCATTATATATAGCACTTCTGTTGTTTTTCGACGTACAGTGCTGTTTTCATCTAAAAGCAACTTTTTCAAATTATCTAGAAATCCTGAAAGACATAATTTTATATATTTATTTGGTTTATGTCTTGTTCTTCCAACAAGTTTTCAGGACACCTTACAGCAAGTTAAACCTATGAATGTAAAATATCAAAACAAAAGCAATCGAACAGGTCAGAAAATCAGAAAGCGCGTCAAGCCCGTCAGCGGAACGAAACGCGGGCACCCGACGGGCACTTCCTGCGGAGCCCTCGCGCCGCGCGGGGCAAGGGAAGGCGCCCCCGCGCAGGCCTCAGCGCGACGCCCTGCCTCGTCCGGGGGCTTCGCAGAGTCCCCCGCAGGGTCCGCGGGCCCTTGCCCCGGAAGCCCCGGGCCAAGGGGCCCTTCCGGAGCCCTGCCGAGCCGGGGCCCGCCGGCGCCCGCCGCCCCTGTGTGGAGCCCGGCCGGCCGGCGGGCAGTGGCCGGGCCGGCGGGGCGTTCGTCGCCTCTCTTACCGATGCGGACGGCCTCGTAGGCGTTCTCCGGGTCGTGCACCAGGTCGCACAGCGCCATCAGCGCGCGCTGCCGCGTCAGCAGCTCGGCGGCCTGCAGCTCCTCGTTGAGCTTCGGGAGCGCCCTCCGGCCGAAGGCGACCGGGGCCTTGGTGGGGTCGAGGTGCGGGGGCAGCTGCGCGGAGATGCGCGGGTGCGCCATCCCGGCCCGGCCCGCCGCCTCGGCCTCGCACGCACCCCGCGCCGTTGCCAGGCGACGCGTCGCCGCCGGAACCCTGCGGAGCGCCGCGGGCGGCGGGGCGTGGGCGCCGCGCTCCCGGCCAAAGGGCGGCCTGCCGCTGCTTCGCGTCCGCGCGGTGGCCGGTGGAGGCTTCGCCGTGCGGAGAAAGCCCCGATGCGATTAGGTTTCGCCCCGCCATGGAGAGCCGGGGCGGGCGGGCCAAGCCAAAGTGCGATGAACTCCTTGCGTAAAAAATCCGTGCCAGAGGCGCAGGCTAAGGACGCCTGCGAACAGCAGCTAGGCCTGCGGCTTGTCAGTATCGCTATTAACCGCATCACGCGAAGCGCCCCTTGAAGCAAAATGCGATAGCCCGGAATTGGCAGCTTGCGGCCAGCCCAAAGCATGAGCGGCACCCAAATGGATGGGAGCGACACCCCGTGCCTCACAACTTCTTCAGGCAACTACAGGCAAATGCCTACTCTGGACACATAACTGGGCAGGTGTCATCTAATGGGGCCCCAAATACCATGAAATCATGCACCAGTTCTTTTTTCAGGCGATAGGACACATTTTGAGAATGGCCTGGGATTGGGGACTTTTTCACATGAGAAAAACCAGCCAAATTCAACAGTCACAAAACTAGATGGGAGCAAAGGAATATACCATAAACCACTCAACCTTACAACCAAAGGCAAGTTTAATATCTCTTACAATAACATAAAAATCAAAATAGCCTGCAAAAGCAACAAAGAGACTCAATAGCATTTGCTTTCATTCAATCATTCTGTCATCAAACTGCCCACCTTACTTTCCCTTAGAGACTGAACCCAGGGCTCTCCTATGTTAGCCCAGGAAATTGGAAGTGAAGGCCAGTGTCCCAACTAACACGCCCCATGATTAACAACGTCATGCAAGTCCAGAAGCAGTGCTTGCTGGCAGCTTTGCACCCACCCATTCCCTAAGTCTGTGGGACCCAAATCCAGATGAGGCAGATGGTGTGTCTGGGACTCATGAAGGACCCCCTGCTGCTTGGGCCCTGCCTTGCTTGAGGGTGCACCGGAGCCCTGTGGTTTCTGCACAAGTTTTGCAGCGCATTCCTCCCATGCAGTTACACAGAGCTGAGGAATCTGAGTGGGATGGTGTAAACTGCTGACCTGCAACAGCAGCGGGTTGGACCCAATGGCCTTCCTGGCCTCTTCTGAAGGACAATCCTGTGTTTCTGGGCCACTAGGAGGAAGAGTGTCCCAGGTGAAGAATGGGGATCCAGCTGGAGAAGGCACCCCAGATGGTAGCACTTTCAGCAGGAAAGTGAAGCAGAGAGGAGCAGGGGGTCAGATAAGGTGATTACCCCCCCCCCACATCCCTGTTAGAAGCACAAGGGGGAAGTAACATTTTTGATGGACTCAGGTGATAAATATTCTGTGTTCACAAATTAAATTGGTTGAAAGAATGGAGGGAGGGTGAAGGTGATTGGAGTAGGAGGAGAGCTTTGGACTGGAAAGATGCAGGTCAGGTGAGAGGAGGTCATGTTGGTATGGTAGACGAAAGAAAGTCCTGTTGGCTAGGATGAGTAGGAGGGGAAGCCAGTGCTGTCTGGGCCACCATGGAGGGATGAGGATGGCATCAGTATGGTCCTGAGAGATCTTTGCAAGGACCTTCGGAATCAGGGAACATGGCAGAAAGAGAATAGTTTCCCGCTCCAAGGGAAAGGAGAAAGGCGTCTCCGAGGGAGTGAATGCTAGGCCAGTCCTTGAGTAGAAACAGTCGCATACCATGTTGCATTCAGTAGCGAATAGGTTTACCTGGGAAACACCCCAATGATTCCACAGGATTTGGAGGACTGTGGGGTGAAGTTCTCATTTGTGACATTTGATGGAAGTCCTGCTAAGGGAGTCTGTGGGGACATTGCTGCTACCTGCCACATATAGGACCGTCAAACTGGTCTGCTTGATGATACACCAGTGCCAGAAGGTGGTGGCGAGGGAGGCAAGCTGGTTTGACATGATTCCACCTTGCTTGTTTATATATGCTATAACTGTGGTATTGTCTGTGAGAACTCTGACATGGTGACCTCGAATGTGAGTCTGGAAGGCAACAAGGGCCTTCTTGATTGCCAAGAGTTCCAAGAAATTGATATGGTGGTGACCTTCTTGGAGGCTCCATCTGGACTGAATGATAGCTTGGCCGCAATGAGCACCCTATCTGAGGAGGGAGGCATCTGTTACAACAGTCACTTGAGGGTCCCAAGGAGAGAAGGGGACTCCAATTGCTAGGTTGGCCTCCTCTGTCCACCAATATAGAAACATAGAAACAGAGCGAGTAAGAAGGGGTCTCCCCGAGCCATATAGTCTGACCTCCAGCACTAGCCGGCTCCGCTCACGACATGCCCACCATGTGGACATCCAGTCTATCCTCGAACACCCTCACCGATGGGGCCTCAACGACCACTCATGGAAGCCCATTCCACACCCTCGGGGTCCTAACTGCCAGGAAGTGCTTCCTGGCATCTAAATGAAACCTTGGCTCCCTGAGCTTTGCTCCGTTGGAGCGTGTCCTGCCTTCCTCTGCAGGGGAGAACAGGTCTCTACCCTCCTCCTCTGACACCCCCTCACATACCTGTATGTTGCCAACAGATTCCCTCTGAGTCTCCTCTTCTCCAGGCAGAAGAGACCCAGTTCCCTCAGTCTCGCCTCATACCCCATCCCCTGCAAACCGGCCACCAACCTTGTGGCCCTACGCTGCACTGACTCTAGTCTGGCTATATCCTTTCTGTAATGAGAGGCCCAAAACTGAACACAATACTCCAGTTGCGGGTGCACCAGAGTCGTGTAGAGTGGTAGTAATACCTCTCTTGATCTAGAAGCCACACTTCTGGCTATGCAACCAAGGGTGGCATTCACCCTCTTGACCGCTGCGTCACACTACTGACTCATGTTCAGCCTGCAGTCAGCCAGCACCCCGAGGTCCCTTTCGCAAGTGCTGCTCTCCAGCCACTTGTCCCCTAACCTGTACTTATGACACCTATTCCTGTGCCCCAAGTGCAAGACCTTGCACTTATCCACATTGAACGCCATCCTGTTGTCTCCTGCCCACTTCCATAGTCCAGATCCTTTTGAATCTGGAGTACCTGCTCCTCAGTTGTGGCCACTGCTCCAGTTTTAGTGTCATCTGTGACTTTGTTCAGCAGACTGTTCACCCCTTCTTCCATGTCATAGATGAAAAGATTAAACAGGATCGGCCCCCAGACAGAGCCCTGGGGGACCCCACTTGCCACTGGCTGCCATCCCGATGATTCCCCACTAACAGTGGGGAATCATTCCCCTTCTGCTTTCGGTCAGTCAACCATGCCCTAATCCACCGGACAGTGCTTTGGTGTACCCCAAAACTCCTCAGTTTCTCCACCAGGATATCATGGGGCACTTTGTCAAAGGTCCTGCTGAAATCCAGGTAAACCACATCCACTGCATCCCCTCCATCTAGCCATCTCGAAACCTTGTCATAGAATTCCACAAGGTTTGTCTGGCAGGACCTGTTTTTGCAGAAGCTGTGTTGTGTGGCTGTCAGCCTCCCTTCCCTATCTAGCATCACTAGATCTCTCTCTATTATGAGTCTTTCCACTGTTTTTCCTACAATGGACGTAAGGCTAACCGGTCTATAATTCCCCATGTCCCTTCTACTACCCTTTTTGAAAATTGGGACCACTGATGCCACCCTCCAGTCCTCTGGAACTTCACCCATTCTCCATGAGGCCTCAAAACTGGAGGCCAGTGGGCGTGAGAGAACCCCTGCCAACTCTCTAAGTACTCTCGGGTGTAACCCGTCAGGGCCTGGCGCCTTTGTAATATCCAATGCCCTGAGGAGCCCCTCGACTTCAAGGGGGGTGACTCTAATCTGTGCCCCTAAGTCCCCAGCCTCATCTAATCTCCTATGCAGATATCCCCCGTCCTGCTTTGGGGAGAACACAGAGGCAAAATAGTCATTTAGCATCTGTGCCTGTTCCCTCATATCAGTCACTGGATCTCCTTCCTCCTTATTAGTGGTCCCACCACTTGTCTCCCCTTCCTCTTCCTATTTACATGCTGAAAGAAACCCTTTTTGTTGCTCTTGATGTTCTTGGCAAGTCTCAGCTCGTAATTAGCCTTAGCCTTGCAAAGAATCCTTCTGCAACAGGCCTCCTCCTCCCGGTATACCCTTTTGTCTATTTGCCCCAGTACCCATTTCCTACGGAGGTTCCTCTTTCTCTAATCCCTCTAACCACCTCCTTTCGCATCCATGGCAGCACTCTCCTCCACCTCCCCACCTTACTGACTAGAGGTATCGTCAAGGCTTGCGCCTCCAAAACCTCCGTTTTGAGTGCCATCCACCCCTCCTCAACTCGCTTACCTTCCAGTAACCCATCCCAGGAGACTTTCCCCAGTCTGGCCTTCAGTTGGCCCTCTTGAAGTCCCAGTTTCTAGTGCTCGACCTGCTGCCCGTCCGCAGTCCCCTGATCTCAAAGCAAAAGATGGAGTGATCACTCGCATCCAGAGCTCCCCTAATCTGTACTTCATCTATCAGCTCCTCTTTATTGGTCAAGACCAAGTCAAGGTTGTTTTCCCCTCTCGTCACCTCTTGGACCCTCTGTGTGAAAAACCCTCCCTCAATAGCTTCTAGGAAGCGACGTGACCTGGCTGTCACCGCCGAGTGAGTCTCCCAACTAATATCCGGGAGACTGAAGTCTCCCATAATTACTGTGTCTCTCCCCCAAGATATCCTGAGAATCTGGCCTGTCAGGACACCATCCAGGGTCTCAAGTTTACCTGGAGGGCGATAACATACCCCCACTGTCAGGTCTCTTTCCCTGTCAAGTTTCCCCCAGACTGCCTCTACCGAAACCTCATCTGTGCTGCATTCTATCTCACTGCATCCTATCTGTTCCCTGATGTATAAAGCCACGCCCCCACCTCTCTTTCCCTTCCTGTCCTTTCTAAAAAGGTGATGCC